TGGCCCATCTTATCCATCGCAGTATTGGATAAGATGAGTTAACTTCGATTCCTCAAAAATTCTCATGTAGTTCCAGTGAACAAAAGGCATACTTTCATGATTATTGATAACTTAATTTTGCATTCTCATTGTAGCTTATTAATTGTTAGAGACTTAATCCATCATAAAGACGTGATTTATCCAGTTCGATCCCTTTCTTAGGATGTTATGCCTAACCTAGCCATCTCTGATCCCGTCTAGGAATCTGTCATTAGCTTGTTATTCTCATGCTGATTTTCCTTGTAATGTTCAATGAAATGAAACGAAAACTCTGGAATCTGGTTTGCATCATCTGACTACTTGGAAGTCATTTCAGCGGTTGGCTTATTAGTTACTCCAGGAAAATAATTTACTGCTTGAAATTTCGTAGAAGTTAATTACCTACAAATGAAATTCTAAGCTAACTGTCAAGCACAGACTTAGCCTGGCCAATGTTCGAACAAGTAAGCTGTTTGACCTGATGAAATTTATCTGTTTCGAAAGCATAAGTTAACACCTATAGTCTGCAGAGAGAGAGAAATAACTCTAAATGGTCTTAACCTAGTAATGTAGGAAGAAAGTTAGGTGATACTGTACCATTCATAGACGCTGCAACATTTGATATATGATGTCTACACCAAACGAGAAAGTAAATAAATTCTTCGTGTATGGTATCTTAGCATAAATAGGAGGTTTACGGCTAATTCTCACTTATCCCAAGTAAGCTACTACAACAGCTTCCCCCCAAAATCGACTTCCATAGGAACATATGAACGACCACGATGGTCGTGTCAGAACGGTGGAGTTGAGGACGACAGCCGAAGAAAACACTGTGGATGTACGAAGCTTATGAATGACTTATGAAGTCAGTTCCATAACGACAGCGATTCACAACAATGGACGTATTAAGGGTTCAGGGGTGTAGAATAACGTGTGATCAGTAAACGAGCCCACCAATTATGTTGTTAAACGCCTACCACATCGTTTACTCTTTTTTGCCGCGTATAAATAAGTTTTGCTCATTCACTAGTCTCGACCTTGCATGTTTGTCATAAACGATATTGAATTCTTGGTCATATTCTTCTTATCGTTTAGTTGTACTTTGGTGGTCACTCTTTCTGCTCTCAAATAGACTGTGATAATTTCTCTCTTTGTAGACTATAGGTGTTAACGTATGCTTTCGAAACAGGTAAATTTCATCATGTCAAACAGCTTACTTGTTCTGACGTTGGCCAAGCTAAGTCTGTGCTCGACAGTCTATAGGTTAGCTTAGAATTTCATTTGTAGACAATTAATTTATAGGAAGCACGTTATTTATTTTTCCTGAAATACAGGCTCAAGAATCAAAGTTTGTACCTATAGGCTGTATATCATCAGAGCCTGACGACTTATTCAAACCCTTGCGGACACTTCAGAACCATTCAAGGCGTTGTCTAACAAGTGCCCAGTGTCAAATTCAACTGATGGAATATATTATTCTTCGCGAGATTACCAAGTTAAACCTCGATAGATCCGAAAATCAGGACGCAAGTAATTTCTGCAAGAAGAAGTATTTTGTCCCGTGGTTTTGTGATATCGTCATGGTTTCAAAATGTGTAACTTAACAATCTTCGCATCCCCATAATGCAAGTACGTGTGCACACTAGTGACCAACTTCGTGGGAAATCTTACCCTAGTTCTAGTGGGAGGTCGTGACCAGTGGAGTTCAACCTGCTCGGGTGTAGACCGTAACTACCGAATACTGTGTATGAGGTTGCACAACTCCGTGAACAGATCAGGTTAGACACTAACATTGTCAAATACCGGCTCAGTGGTCCGGAGGTAAGGCGTTCGCACACAAGACCGAAGGTCCTGGGTTCGAATCCTGTGGGGTGCAGGAGTCGTGGATGCGCACCACTGACGAGTCCCATACCAGGACGAAACGGCCGTCCAGTGGTTCCAGGTTTCTAATGGTGGTCTAACATGGTTTCCAAATGTGTAACAGATAAACGGAAGGGGTGCAATATAACAATTATTGTTAGAATTAAGTACAATAATAAATGTTTCCATTTCAGCAGTTGTGTTATCTTACAACCACATAATCATCATCTCTGTATTTATACATGGAAAAGGCGATGTCAGTCCAACTATCACAGAAGCACTTGAAAAAATAATCCCAACTATGTTGTCATGTTACGTAGGACAATAATTTTGTGATGACAGTCATATCCAGCTAAGATGGGTCTATTTGGTTACCTAGCACGATTGTTTGTTGAGTAATCTCTAGGCATTTGTATAGCAGACATAATGACCATTTAAATGGGTCAGTGCTGCCCTCAAAATGGATCTGGAATGATCCTTTGCCGAAACCTGATCACCCGAAAATTAAAAATTCTAATATGGTCCGCGAGTGATAAATCTCCGAGGTCAAAAACACCTGATCTTTTCAGTTCATATCCATTCTGCAGTATGAATTTCCGTTCAGTGGGAGATTTAAACACTGCATTTAGCAACCTATCTTCATTTTCTTGTGGTTTCTTGGAGCTTTTTAGTATATTAACCTACAGGAAGATGAACCAAACGATGTCTTGAGACATTATTGTATATTATAGAACATTTATCAGCAAATGCCATGCTCGAAGCTGGTTTTCAACTCAGAGCTTTTGCTTTTGCTACTAGAGACAGACTTAGATACCTTAAGCGCTTCTTAGCTATCGCCTCTTACAGGAGAAGGCACGGACTAAGCCTTATTTTCTGAGTTTTCGTTCCTGATGGACTAGTTTGGTGCTGGCTTTTCTCATTTGGCCCATCTAAGTCATTCGGAGAGTTGATGCACAAATATTTCAGCTTCCAGATATTGAGAATTTGTCTCATCAGTTTTTCCCTTCTTGTGGAGAAGGATGCGGACTTCTTTACTAAACCATGGTGGGGCATTGCTTGGGTCCCGTGTTGTCCGAGAAGTGTGCAATGCAGTATCAATATCAGGAAAGCCCTCCCAAAAAATGTGGCATTAACTCATTTAGTGACAACTGTCAGGTGGTAATCGGATTCATAGTTGAAAATAGGCCTCGAAGAGGAACATAGGTCAGTTGACCTAACATACTTATCACTGTAAATTGATCGTAGAAGGTCAACTTTGTACGACCATTTCAAAATATACGGGTGAGGTGTATTCATTGTTTTGTGGTAGTTAGTTTGTTGTTAAACCACGTCAGTTAGTCGTTTCACGCCTCCTAAATACTGAACTTCGTATTATTTAATAATTCATTCACTAGTTCCGCTTTAACACATTACTGTTGTGCTGGCTAATTAGTGTTTGTGTTGTCATTCACATATCTGCATATTTTCAGTGTTTTTCAAAAAATTCTTCAGCCTGTTCCATAGTTAGCAGACTTGCCAGTCAGACAATACTCTAGGGCTTAAGTAAACCACTAAACAAATATTAAATGTTCGTTTTACTTACCAAAGTGTCTACAATCTAATCAAGAATTCTTTCTAAATTTTAGATAATTGCTTTGTTAGCTTATAATCTTCTGGTTTATACTGGTCGTTCCCGGATATCAGCGACCCAATTTGTCGGGCTGGCTGCATAATATTCTCAGTGAATGGCGAAAGGTCGTCTTTCTTCAGGCTCGGACTCGTTGGACAGTGATGATGAATTAGAGGTAGGCACTTAAACAATCCGAAATACGAAATATGTGGCGATCAAACTAATGTGTATCTAAACGTTTCTTTTAGTGGTTACAATCACATCGCAAGCAACGGAAGTCCTCGGCTGTAAGCGAAGAGATGACGTTCGATTCAAAGTCAGGTGGAATAGAGGAGGGTGAAGTATCCAGTGATGACCTTGATGAAGACGAAGATGATGGCTTGGATGACAACCTTATTGGTGGGGAAGATGATAAGCGTCGGTTGGCAAAAATGAGTGAAAAGGAAAGAGAAGAAGAGCTATTCAAGAGAGCTGAAAGAAGGGATGCTATACGGGCGCGTAAGGCTGTAAAGCAGAAACTAAAAGAAAGAAGGGAAAAAGAAAGAGCTCAGCAGGTAGCCTCTCTATCGAAACAGTCGGTCGGGGAATTAAGCAAATCAAAGAGATCTGCTTATCACAACGTCTTTTCAGACAGTGACGAAGGAGAAAATAGTGATTCAAGTGGTCTTAGGCCAAAAGGTCTTAAACAACGTAAAATTGCGCTGGAAAAGAAGAAGGTGTGTCTTTCTGTTTGTTAAACTTGATTTAATTTACTCAATTTTGCTCCTATGTACAATCTGTCTTGATTAATTACCAGTTATTGCTATATTTTTTAATGTAAAACAATAATCAATGGGAGATTCTATTTTAGGTGGCTCACAGGGATAAGTTTCAGGAACTTATTGAACGTCGCAAACAACAGGCTGCTAAAAAGCGTAGAAATCATACATCAGATGAAGTCGATATATCCGCCCAAAACAGCGCTGGGAGTTCATCAGATAGCGATGGCGATAGTCCAAAGCCACGCGCAAAAATTCAAGAGAAGCATCAGTCCATGTCCCAGCGTGTGTTTTCTTCGGAGGCATCAGACTCTTCTGATTCAAGTAGACCCGGTTCCCGTCCTGTTGCTCGACGTCCAAGGTTAGTTATGGAGATAACTTGCAATAAATATCTTCCATTTTTGTTGTATGACCTGTTTATTATTTATAATAAATTCTTTTAATTCCACTCCGCTCAGTTTATATAACATTCTAAGTTAAATAACTAGACGACAATATCTTTAAAATGTTGCTCGATTTCTATCACCTCTTTGATTTAAAAGGATATTCGTATCATAATCTTGTTTAAGGACTTGTACTGCATTTATCCACAACATATCCTGGTTAAGTCAGTCAGCTAAAATGTAGAACTTGGTACATACGCACATCAGTTCAAGTTGCCATGCCACATTGTCACAGAAAGATGGGATTGTCAATCTAAATCCCATAGTAGTAGAGGTATAAGTATTATCAGTAATGGAGATTAGGGTTCAAAGATACGATTCGGGAAGTATTATCCAGTGAAATAAATTTAACAAGAAAAATGAAGGTCACGAGGAATTCAGGCGACTAGATTTTCAGGAAAAATAAAGAATAAATGCATCTGCCCCATTGCATACTACTTTGAACCATCTCATTCAAAGTCTCTAACCATCGATAACCATTATCTCGCGGACCTAGTTAAAATGAGTGGGATAAAATTTTATGCTCATAGGTATGATGTAAACCAAAGTTTATGCACATGAAAGTTTTTACTTTAATTTCTCTTACATTTAAGAATTAAAGAGAATTTTTTTGACAATGACATTTGCTCAAACTGTACAGTCGTTTTTATTGCAATTTCCCAAATAAAATAGTCTATTGAAAGGTAAAAAGAAAACAACTTTAGTTGTCGGAAAGTAAAAGCGTGATGAGCGATAAGTCATAAAAGATAAGGCCAAACATGAGAGATAACTGCCCACTTGATGATCATAAGAAATGTGGTGAACAGAATAAAATTTCAGGTGGTTTGAGATAGTCTACTGAGAACCCAACTCAGGTTTCATACTATATGAAACTAGTGAGCAATATGTACCTGCAACCTCGTTGAAACTAGCGGATTCAATCTGCACTACTTATTTTCACTGTCTGAGATGTTAACACAGCTATTCGGAATTCAATGTTAAGTCACATTAATCGATAGAATCCAATTAGCATTAAAAAGAGAATTAGGCAAACATAAAATCGACCAACTGTAAGCAATTAGAAACTTTAGAAACAACAAAGGAAAGTACAGGTGACTAATCTACCGAATATGAAAAATCGAATATCAGGACCGTGGTAGAATGAAAAGTTTCAAGTGGTAGTGTTACATACAGTTTTGGTTTGAAACGAAGTTGCTAACGCCTCTGCAGCGTATAGGTTATTGAACTTTGCTCCCTTCGAACTCAATCGTTTAAACATGTAAATGATTTTAAGGTGCTATAAGGTGACATGAATTGACAGGATATTCCACCACTGTGCTGTTGATTGTTCTTTAGAAAGCCACACATGATAATGCTCAGTGATGAGCGTCCGCTTTGTGCAGTTTGTGTAACCTACTTCACAAGCACAAGTGAATCTGTCAATGTAAATTGATATAACCAAGAAAAATAGTTTGTCTCTAAAACATTAACAAAATACAGGCACGGCGCACTTGGCTCGGTCTTGTTGATCTAGTCACAGACCGTAATGTAACCTGAAGTAGATTGGTACCATAATGTGTGAGTTCACTTATTATAAACGTTCTCTTCTCGACCGTAGCTGCTACCTTGACGTGGTGGTCGGGCTTGCCTATCGTGATGACTCAACCGAGCTATACTGGCTGGAACATATGTTCCTGAAGGTTCTACCATGCCAGGCAGGTCTATTGGAGAACGATCAGACTAAAAGCAGCTACCCAAGGTCTGAGGGCGAAGTCGTACTGCTGACTGCAGAGGGGTGTGACAGCAGTAAGGTGTTTCCCTCGGACAACCAGCATCTGCAGCGATGCTGCCTTCTGACAAGGAATGAAGGGTTAGAAAAGGTCGACCCTAAAAATGTCACACCTCCCCTAACTCACGGATTTCCGTCTCCTTGGGTAAGGGTGCCCACTAAGGGCCTTCAAGAGCGGAGCTAATACTACAAAAAGCTTTCATAAAAAGGCCGTGCGTGACCGGCCTCAAGCAGTTGTCTCTTGGGCTCTGCGGTCACGCACCCAGGTCTCTAAGACCAACACTAATCTATCTTCCTTTGCAGGTTCCTCAAGAAACAACCATACACGGTGTGGGCAGCCGGGAAGTGACAACCGCCGTCATACCCGTAACAGCACACGAGACCGAATTGGTCAAAAACAAATCCTTCCTACACCCACACATACCTCTTTTCTTTCCACAACTAACTCTACTCACAGTCCCTTTTCTCACTGCACCGCTAATGCAGACGAAGCGAGTTCACGAAACGTCATTCCTGGTCTCTTGAAACCCCGTTCTAGACTACATGTTGGAGCATTTAATGTACGGACATTGTGTCAAATGGGGTAACAGGCTTCGTTAGCTAGGACTTTAGAATCTCGTGCCATCGATGTATGCTGCGTCTCGGAAACGCGCATACAGGATCCTAGTAAAATTATTGTTCTGATTTTACCTTGTCAAAATGAAAAAGCAGCTCGATTTTCTCTTCGTGTATCTGGAAGCCCTGAAGCTGCTTCCAGGGGTCTTGCTGGCGTAGGCATAGCATCGAGTCGTAGAGCTGAACAATCTCTCCTAGACTGGATCCCAGTAGATAGTCGGTTGTGCGCTGTCCGACTAAACGGGACAGTAACGACTCTGAAGGATAGGGACACTCGCCGTTACCTCTTCGTCATATCTGTCTATGCCCCCACTGATTGCAGTTCAGACGAGGTGAAAGATGACTTTTACAGAAAGCTTTCGGACCTCCAAAAAGCTAGGCACTCTAATGTAGTAATTAATGGCTGGTGACTTTAATGCTCAAGTAGGTAGACTAAGTGAGCAGGAGAGACACCTAGGTGGATGTTATGGTGTCGCGGCTCAGAGAACAGACAATGGTGACCGTCTGTTGCAACTATGCTCAGATAACCGCCTATTCTTAGCAAACACTAACTTTAGGCATAAGGAAAAGCATCTGTTGACCTGGCGACCCCCGAAGTCGTCTCAACGTTGGACTCAACTAGATCACATCGCCATCAGCCACCGATGGAGGGGTTCGATAGAGGACTGTCGCTCGTTGTGGGGCACATGTTTAGATTCAGATCATGCCCTAGTGCGAGCTCGTATTTGTTTGAGGCTTACTGGACGTAGGAAAGACACCGTAAGGAAGCCTCTTAGGGCTTTACTTGATGATAATCAAACTAAGAAAATATTTCAGGAGCAACTAGAAAGAGAGTTAAGCAACAATGCAAGCGATTCCCATCCAGAAGCAGGTTGGTATGATATCAAAAAGGCTGTGGAAACAGCAGTGATATCTGCTAGTAAGGTAAACCACAAGGCTAGGATGAAGCCGTGGATCTCAATAGCATCTACCGAACTGATGGATGCTCGAAAACGCATCCCGCCCGGTTCTGAGAGCGATGAGGAGCGGAGTCAGCTTAGACGTAGGCTGACAAAAAGCCCACGCAATGATCGAGAACAGTGGTGTGTGGAGAAAGCTAGAGAGATGGAAAAGGCAGCGGCGATAGGCAACAGTAGGCAACTATTTAGGCTCATCAAGAAAACTGGTATTAGGAACCCAAGTGTCAGTGAGACCATTTCGGAAAAGGATGGTCTTATTATACATTCTCAATCCAGGAGACTGGACCGATGGGCAGAACACTTTACGGATCACTTCAATTGGCCTCGAGCCACTCTTCGGTTACTCACGATCTCCAGTCATCCTGAATGACAAATCGACGTAAGTCCCCCTAGTCTTAATGAAGTTGAAAAAGCGTTAGGAAATCTGAAGCGAGGACGAGCTGCAGGTCCTGATAGACTGACCCTTGAGATATTTAAGGATGGTGGTCCAGTTTTAGCAGCTAGGTTGACTGAGATCTTGGGTAGAATCTGGGATCTGGACGTAATCCCATCCGAGTGGTCTCAATCCCTGATTGTCCCAATCTATAAGAAAGGACAATCACAGGGGAATCAGTCTAATTAATATAATATCTAAAATATTAGCCTCAGTAATACTTCGACGCTTAACGAAAGCTTGTGAAGAGCTGACTCGAGAAAACCAGGCTGGTTTTCGACCTGGACGTGGCTGTATAGACCACGTCTTCACACTAAGACAGGTCCTGGAACACAGACACACATTTAGGCGTCCTATAATAGTTGTTTTCCTAGACCTTAAGGCGGCATTCGACTCAGTGGATCGTGAGGTTCTGTGGCAGTCTTCCATTGAGAGGTGTACCAAAGAAGTACATTAACCTCATACAAGCTCTCTAATCGAACACCACTGGTCGAGTGAGGGCTTATGGCGAACTGTCACCGGAATTCTCTACTTCAAGTGGTGTCCGTCAGGGATGTCCACTTTCTCCATTCTTGTTTAATTTTATCATAGACATGCTCCTAGAAATAACCTTATCCTCGTCTGAATTTTCAGGAGTAGACCTTCTACCAGGTGGCTCGCTAATTGACTTGGAATATGCCGATGACACTGTCCTACTTGGTGAAGACGCTGACAAAATGCAGTGTCTTCTGACCACCCTAAGCAACAATGCAAGCATGTTCGGGCTGCGGTTCTCACCCTCGAAATGCAAAATGTTGCTTCAAGATTGGCTTGCGTCAGAACCTGAACTAGTGATAGAGAGTGAAGTAGTCGAACGTATAGACCGCTTCACATATCTGGGGAGTCTCACCAGTGTTGATGGCTTAGTGACTGACGAAATCTCGGCACGGATACAGAAGGCTCGATTGGCTTTCGCCAACCTGTGTCACTTATGACGTAGGCGAGATATCCGTTTGCTGGCTAAAGGATGAGTGTACTGCGCAGTGGTTCGCTCCGTCTTACTTTATGGCTGTGAAACATGACCAGTAAGAGTAGAAGATATTCGCCGGTTATTGGTTTTCGATCATAGGTGTCTTCGAAGCATTGCTCGTGTATCCTGAGATAACTGTATAAGCAACGCTGTTATTAGGAAACGGGTGCTAGGTAAGAATGGCAGATCAATAGACGCAGTAGTGACACTTCAGTTGAGGTGGTTGGGACATGTGCTGCGTATGCCTAACCACCGACTACCTCGTCGAGCTTTGTTTTGCAGTGTAGGAGTAGGTTGGAAGAAAGTTAGGGACGGCCAAACCAAAACATGGCAGAAATCCATGAAGTCATTGACGAGTGGACTTAGCCACGTCGGTAGTTGTCGACTACCTGATTGGGCTCCGTGAGATGATAATAATCGATGGTTAGAGACCCTGAATGACATGGCTCACAAACGTTTGCAATGGCGCTGGTGCATTTATTCTTTGTGTTCTCTCAAATCCTAATCTTCTTGATTCTTCAACCGCTCTAGTTTTGACTTTCTAAACTTTTCTCACTGAATCATATTTCTTGAATATCTTCTAATCCTAACCTCTCCGATTACTTCTAATATCTTAACTACGTCTTCTACTAATGGATTCGAATTGATTGCTGATATGGTATGGCAACATGAACTGATGTACTTACGTACAAAGTTCTACGTTGCACCTGACTGACTGACTGAAACGTTCTCTTGTTGTGATATTGAAAGTAGTAACCTCAGTGTTAGCGTTCCGAAACATGGAAATGCTCAGATCCAAATGGCCTAGGTCCACTCTTTATTTTGTTGATCTCGTTTCGAAATCCCTACATACATACCTTGCCACTGTATTTCTAAACCATCTTTCAAAGGTTTAGTCATTCTTTCTTCAACTCACGTATGTGCCAGACTGTTTTGATGAGTGTTATAGATGGACCGGTGGTGTATAGATGGGTGCGCTACTGAAACCTCTTACCAACTGTTGCATGACTCATCGGTAGAATACCATACCTGAGCCTACAATCAAAGACTCGTTCATCATCTTGGACGAAAATATTGACCATGATGTCATCCTAGATAAATTCACTATTTTGTGATCAGCCAATTAGATTTACATCGAAAAGGGGTGAACTCGGAATTTAGATTCCTCGTTATCTTATTAATAAGAAGTCTAGATGGTTACAGCACTATTATTACGTATATAGGCTTCGTAGATAGACTAGACAGTAGTGCGTATCTTTCAGCCACTACATCCATAAATATCACAATAAAAATTAATAAAAAAAGAAATTAAAAGTTTTATAAAACATTAAAGTACATAATTGATGTTTTCCGATTTCCTATATGAACGAAACACTTACACAGCACTCCAGTTTTCATTCGTTTCACCTCAGCGTACAACCTTATTTCTGCTGTTTAGAGCTCACAACCAGTTTCTGTCTAGTTTTCATCAATACTCAGCAAATTCATGGATTGATATATTACCGTTCGTATCTTAGGTTTTCCAGTGAGCGGACAACCTGACACCTTCAGTCGAACTATAAGGCTTAGCAAGTTAGTCAGTCCTCCTTACCATAATCATGTGCCAATCGTAGTGAGTCATCTTGCTCTAGCAAAACAATATATTTGCTTCCAAGTTTTATTGGTGTATCCAGAGGATTAGTTTTTGTTAACAACTCGACTTCTCAAAACTATCATGCATTTACGAACAGTGAACGAAAAATAAGGTGAATCCCTAAAATCAGTTAAAAAGCTGTGAAAAAGTTAGATAAAAGTACTGTCATGAAGCGCATATAAGAAACCGTTAACTGTAGACAACAGTATATTTGAAAGATTTTAATTACTTTTACTTGATAACGATTGCTTTTACTGTTGCATCTCTGTGCTAATGTGGTATGGCAACCTGAACTGAAGTACTTACGTACGAGGTTGTACGAGGTTGCATCTGACTGACTGCTTTCACTTTTAAGGTCAATCAACTGAATCAGAATGACGTTCTGGGTTTTCTAACCGTTGTAGTGTACCTATTTTTTCTTTTAAATCCTTTTGGTGGAATTCTAAAGCTATGGTGAATGTCTTTGTTTTAGTTTTTCAAGTTTGTCGGGTTCACAGAGATCTGGTTCTTCAAGTGAAGATGATGCTCGAGGCAGAAGTCGTTCCCCTGAGGAGGAATTAGTCTCCTCCGTTGAACATTTATCTCGTATTCGGTTGTCACGTTTTAAAATGGAAAAATGGGTTCACATGCCTTTTTTCGATGTAAGTTTCTCCACATCCTACATGCATTATCATACATAGTAAGATATTAATAACTTTATTATAGATATCCTTAGATGCAGTGCATGATATAGTCTTTAAATAATTTCAAAGTAAAATCTGCTAGTCAAAGAAGCTTCAAAAAGCGAATAAATTCAACTTATATGCGGCACATTGTTAGCTACCTCCTCTCGATTATGTTAATATATATATAAGTATATATTTAAAATACATATAGATCGGCACAAGTAAGCAATAAAATATAAATGTGCCACAAAATAAAAATGAGGTTGTGAAGAGAGATAAAGAACGGCGATTTTAAAAAATGTAGTGTATGAAAGCGAAATAATAATAGTAGTGGGAGAAACAGTTCGGTTAGGGGAAATACGGTCAGAAGGAATCCTTCCAGTTAAAAAAGTTACTTTTACTTATGTGAAAATGATGGAAAGTTACAGTAGGGTCGTCAATGACTACCCTAAGCAACAATGCGAGCATGTTCGGGATGCGGTTCTCACCCTCGAAATGCAAAATGTTGCTTCAGGAGTGGCTTGCATCGGCACCTGAACCAGTGATAGGGATACCCGCTTGCTAACCAAAGGACGAGTGTACCGTGCAGCAGTTCGCTCCGTCCTACTATATGGCTGTGAAACATGGCCGTTAAGAGTAGAGGACTTTCGTAGGTTACTAGTTTTTGATCATCGGTTTCTCCGAAGCATTGCTCGTGTATCCTGAGATAACTGTATAAGCAATGCTGTCGTTAGGAAACGAGTTCTAGGTAGGGATGGCAAATCAATAGATGAAGTATTGAAACTTCATCAGTTGAGGTGGTTGGGACATGTATCACGTATGCCTAACCACCGACTGCCTCGACGAGCTTTGTTTTGTAGTGTAGGAATAGGTTGGAAGAAAGCTAGGGGCGTCCCAACCAAAACATGACAGAAATGCATGAAGTCACTGACAAGTGAACTCATTCATGTTGGTAGATGTAGCTACCTGGTTGGAGTAAGCGAGACGAAAGTCACCGATGGTTAGAGACCTTGAACGACATGGCTCAGAATCGTTTGCAATGGCGCATGTGCATCCACTCTTTGTGTTCTATGAAATTCTAACCTTCTAAATTCCTCATGATCTCTATCTTTCTCCTTCTAAATTTATCTCACTGATTTATACTTCTCGAATCGTTTCTTCGCCCCCTAATCTCCATTACTGCTAATACTTCTACTATCGCTACCACTCTTGGATTTGAACTGACATTTGTGTCTCTGTGTTGATGTGGTATGGCAACCTGAACTGATGTACTTACGTACGAAGTTCTGCGTTGTACCTGTCTGCCTGGTCTGGTTGTAGAAAGGGAGCATCAGCCTCGTGACTCTCGAAGAAACCCTGTTTTCATGAAACGTCATAACTCTCCTTCATGAAGACCTCCTAACTCCCAGGGCAAAGTTTAAGTGGTTCGAGGTATTTGTTCTAGCTAGTGTCTTTTAGCGAGTTGGTTTTCTACGGGATTAGGTCGCTAACCCCGTGCCAAACCCTCCTTTATTCGGACATGGGACCGGCAATAACCTTGGAGGCGTTCCGGGTGGATTCGCCAAACGGTTATAAGAAACCTTCAGCAGGGGCTGTTGACTTGTGTCGTTCTAAAAGTTGGAGTTTCTTGCGTGTGGGCTATACTGTCGGGGTGCCCGAACCGAAGCAGGTGGTCTTCTTAGGAAGCGACTTTCTAAGCCCTTGACCAAGAGGCATAGTCCACAGGGCAGTAGATCGACATCAGAAGTGGCAGTCCCAATGGTTTCTTTTGGCCGATCATGATACTGAAGCCTATGTACACTACTGGTTTGCAATAAGGGTTTCCAAACTCTCCTACGTGAACTCTCCGTACTCACCAGTCTGGTTTAAGCCTCCACTGTATGCTTACTATGGTCCTTTCAATTTCGTAAATAACACTCCTGCTACGTGAATGTAGTGGGCAGGACTTCCCTGAGTTTGGTGATATACGCACGACCGTATGAGGACATGTCCAGAGGGAGGACAAACTCTCCTCTCCACCGTAAATAAGTGAAAGACATATATATATATATACTGACATCACTACCATTAAATAACGATGAGTTCAGTGAGGGGTATGAAACTAACCAGTTAATATTTCTAGTGTTCTTTCGTATACACAACCTATTGGTCATACTAATTTCTTTGATCAATAAAGTATATCCAGCTTTAATTGTCATCGATCAACTGTATACTGTTTTTGAATATTTAATAATAATGTTTGTCAGTGAATTATTAAAGTACAATTAGGCATTATAGCATTATAGACAGTACGTTTATTTGGTTTATCATAGTTTGTAAGTTTTGCTAGAAATGATTTCTATACTTTTAGACATAACAGAATATCACTCATTTATTATTCTTCTTTTAATCAGAATTTGATAAAAGGATGTTTTGTGCGTATCAATATAGGATTACATCAAGGTGTGCCGATTTATCGTTGTGCTGAAATTGTGGACGTTGTGGAAACTCCAAAAATATACGATCTTGGTGATACGCGGTACATAGCTTTTTCAATCAATATTTTGTGGTTATAAAATATACTTATTAACTGAATTTTATACATTCGAAATTCTTACTTCTATGTGTACTTCATAGTTACTCCTTTTGTGGCTCAAGTAAGTAAAGTGTGTAAAAATCTATGATATATATAGCTGTAGAATACCAAAATAATTGGTCGAAAATGAAGGTACTATATTATATTCAAGATGTAGTGGGAAGCACTGTCACTTGAAATTATCTAGTGAACTACAGCCATTAATCGTGTACCTTCCTACATGTAACTTAAGTCAACAGTTGTAAGCTTAGTGGTTGAGCTGTTCGACTTTTGAACATTAAATTCCGGATTGGAATCCTAATTCATATACTTTGGTGTAGGCAACCGCATAAGCCTTTAAAATTAGTATTTCTCTTACTCAATCTTGCACTCATAATGTTAATTTATGGCTAAATACACGTTTTTAAACATTGAATTTTAATTTTTAAGGATATTTTTCACTTGATCTATGAGCGCTGCATTCTATGCATATTCTGTAGCTGTTTATAGTCTGTTCAATATCCTACTTTTTGTAGAACTAATAAAGGAATAGTAGTACGTGTTGGAAAAGATCAAAGTACATTTCGTTTGGCGTTTATTTCAAACTCTGAATTTCAACAAGATGAATTCGACAGCTGGATGCGGCGAATACATCTTGCGAATATGAAACCTCCAACTTTGAATTTTGTTCGAGATAAAGCTGCTGAAATAACTGAAGCAATTAATCGTCCTATTCGAGATGAGCGCGTAGTTGAACAGGTTTGTCCCAACTATGACTGTATATATTTCATTATAATATATATGATTGATGCCTTTTTCTTATTGAATGAAATCCACTTGTATATTTTAGATATTACCCAAATGGTTTCGTTTTGTTATTTTATTTGTTTCTCATCACGTGGATTCGCTAGTTGATTATATTGTCGTTGTCGTACATCAGTAGTGTACGTCAGTAAGGAAGGGACTTACCGTACTAGGTATCGGAATTTTAGACTATCAAACCTTACGTGACATGACACCTTTTTCTCGAGTGATCACCACATTCTGTCGATCAAATAATATGATAAGACTATTTTATTTTACATTATAAATTGATATTGTTTCTATTTGTCTGATATCTTAAAACCCTTTATAATTAATCATGTGGCACTTTTCGAGAAAGCATTTTTTCGATCTTGTGCAAGGTTGTGATCTTGAAGTGTGAAGATATTTTAATTTTTATTAAACTCCACATTTAAATGTAATATTCTGTAATTTCACTGTGGCTGCAAGCTATTTAATGTCAGTCATCATCAGCATAAAATTTAACACAAATATACATCATCCTAAGTCCTCATACCATATTAACAAAATGTGGTGAAACGAACAAGAAAAATGCTGAAGTAGAAATAATGCTTTTAATGTTAATAAGAGAAACTAAGCATAGGGGAATATGGTTCAAAGAAATTGACCCATGTTTTCTGTGAATGTAGTGAGCAGGACTTCCCTAAGTGTAGCTGTTTAGGCATAGCGATATAAGGGCATTTCGAGAGGAAGGACGAACTCTCCCCTCTCTCAGCCATACCTAGGCATTTAGAATGCTTACTGATGTATTACCAAATAGAATAGTAACTGACTAAATTCATAAAATTAATGAGACACATTCAGAAAAATAGTGAACGTTTGGTTAATATATGAACAAACAGATAGAAATATCATCCTATGCCTGGGTATTTATATGTAGTATAGATGTCACGCTGAATAATTATTATCAAGCGAAATTAATTGTTTGCTAAGATTTACTACCATTTTTAGTCACTGATTATGGAATAAGAGGGATAAATTCAAACTGATACAAAATGTTCTTAAGATTTTTTTCACGTCTTTAGTTAGTTGGACTGTGTATTGTACTGTTTGTTTGCTGGAATTTCTCTGTTTAATATTGATCCCTATTGTGGTTATTGTATTATTGACGAACTTAGATTATGCAGTATATCTGTTTTATGTTCCTCTAATAGTTTTATACATAAACGGTAAAACAACTCAGAGTTAATCGGATTTTAAATATTTAAAAGTTCGATTTTTGTGGTAAAATGTTTACATACTTTTAAGTTTTTGTACTATCTACCTATTTATTATGCAGTAGAGTAATAGCGAACTAATTTCTACCGAAAAAGTTGATTGTTGGTTTATTTTATTAATGTAGTGTAAATATCACGAATAAAGTTTTACTTTACTTGTCACTTGATGTATTTAATTTGTAAATAAATGTGGTTTAAATTTGCTTGATGATTATAACAAATGTTTATTGAAGTGAACATGATCTAGCAGAGTTGTGTATGTCAGTTCAAGTTGTTTAACCTTCATTATACTGAGGAAATGGTTCAGAAAAACTCTCAATGGCGTAGATCCGAAGTGTTAAAATCTTTGTAAACTGGTTAATGTAGCGAATTCATACTTTCTCGGATCATATAATTGAAAACACGTTTTCTACTTCTGTGTTACGGTTGCTACTTCTACTTGGGTAACATTTCTCACGTTAATTTCATCTTGCTGTGGCTTATATGATATAACAACTTAAACCGATGCAAAAATATGCTATGGTCTCTACATTGTTTGCGATTGACTAAATCAATAATAAAAATTGAACAGAATAAAAATTAAATGACCAGTAGAAAAAGTATTACTGAAGTACAGGATTTTAATGTTTTGTATTTAGTAAGCGCCAAATGCTGTATCGATCTATACCAGTTAACCATTGGTTTTAAAGCACTAAAAATCTCATACCAGAATTAAATGTCATTACATAGCTTAAACTGGCAATTTGGAAGTTTGTTTTCGAGCATGAGTTGATCAGTTGACCTTGAGATTACATTTCTCACCCGGAAAATCCTTGGCTGTTGTTGGTTGATTTATTATTTTAGTACGCTATTTTGTGGCTCTCTCAAGCACGTTTCTATGATGTGTAAATAAACTCGATTCGTGTAATTGTCGACCTCGATTTTCTGGTTGCTTTTAGAATACTGTTTCTACGTCTTGTCAAGACTTCTTCCTGTACTTAGTGGGGCCTTTGAACGCTCGGACTAGAGTAACCTATCGTGTCACTGGATCATTTGTCTTTGCTCTCGTTTACCGACCAAAGTGAACTCGTAATACATTCAAGCATATCAACTGATGAGCATATCACGTTAATGACCTACACAATTGTTATCTTCTAATCACTTATGAAATCTAATCATGCTTGCTTACGGATGTGCTAAATGAAAAAACTCCATTCTTTCGGCTAGTAATCCTTCCTCTGTCATCTGTGTCTATCACTAGATCACTTCATTTCATCCACTGAGCAGAATTCTGTGCATTCATTCAAATAGTTCTCACAACATGAATTATTCTTTAAACTATAATCTATAACAGCTATTCATGATAATATAAATAACAATTTTAATTCATCAAGCTTACATTTAATTCATGAATAAATTATTAACTGTAATACATCATTACTTATGTTTAATGTGGATAGTACATTTCACCTTGTTTATGATAACCCGTTGATCTGTTTTCATTGACACTTTTGATTCTCTCCTCTAGATCATACAATCCAAGCGTCGTTTTCAAAAAGCTCCAACAAATTTTGCTCTACGTAAAGCAGAATTAATCAAACAACGAGAACAAGCTGAAGCCGATGGAGATACTGAATTATTGAAACATTTAGATAGTGAAATAGAAGAAATTGAATCACAAGCTGAACGAATTGAACGACGTCGAACTTTAGGCTTCAAATCAATTACATCTATTAATCAACGTAATCGTGCACTTAGTGTACAACAAGCTGAAGAAGCTATTCGTAAAGAAAGTGAAGAAGCATTGAATTCGAAAGAAGAAGATCCATTTACACGTGTTCATTCTCAACCGGTTATTGTTACAAAGAAATATTTGGAGAATTTACGTCATAAAAGAGTAAGATTTGTAATAAATTAAATTTATTTTTTTCTTATATGTTAATGTCTCACTGTTTAAATTATCTTCAATCTGTTCACATATATATATTTTCTATGACTCGTTAAGCATTGTCCGTGATGTAATACGTAATTTATCTGACACTTATATTCGTTTATCTCTTAATTGTTTAGATTACTACTGTATGATGAAATGAAATAGTCATTCGATTAATACACAACTGTTATGTCCCGACCGTAGCTGCTACCTTGACGTGGTGGTCGGGATTGACTATCGTGATGACTCAGCCGAGCTATACTGGTTGGAACATACGTTCCTGAAGGTTCTACCATGCGAGGCAGGTCGATTGGCGAACGATAAGACTAAAAGCAGCAACTCAATGCCTGAGGGCGAAGTCGTACTGCTGACTGCAGAGGAATGTGACAGCAGTAAGGTGTTTTCCTCGCACAACCAGCATCTGCAGCGATGCTGCCTTCTCACAAGGAATGAAGGGTTAGAAAAGGTTGACCCTAAAAATGTCACACCTCACTCTACCTCACGGATTTTCGTCTCCTTGGGTAAGGGTGCCCACTAAGGGCTTTGAAGAGCGGCGCTAATATTCAAAAAACCTTTCATCACAAGGCCGTACATGACCGGCCTCAAGCAATTGTCCGTTGGGCTCTGCGATCACGCACCCAGGTCTCTAAGACCAACACTAATCTATCTTCCTTTTCAGGTTCCTCAAGAAACAAACTTCCACGGTGTGGGCAGCCAGGAAGTGACAACCGCCCTCATACCCGTAACAGCACACGAGACTAAATCGGTCAAAATCGAATCCTTACACCCCCTGTCAACTGTTATGTAATCAATCAACATGTATGGTTGTTCTATAATATTCTGAGGAATGATTATTTCCAAATAGTTAAACGAAGTTGGTTATTTCTTTGCCATGGATTATCTATGTGATTTAAATCATGGAAGTAGTTTTAAGGCGAACAAAAAATATTTTTATATGATTTAATTATTCAAAAACAGTATGTTGTGTATTCGACATGTTTGATTACTAAAAAGGTGAACGGTTTCACACGAATTGCAACTTGCCATTTTAAGTTATTTCTTTTAGAATATTAAGATTTTCATTTTATTGGATGATAATGAAGGTTGAAAGAATTCACAACGCCTTAGTATTTCGAACCGGTAGCTTCTTAATCAATTTTGCCAACTTGAGTCATCTGTGGCCGGGGTGAGATATCCGTTTGCTAACCAAAGGATGTGTCTACTGCGCATCAGTTCGCTCCGTTCTACATTGTGGATGCGAAACATGACCAGTAAGAGTAGAAGATATTCATAGGTTCCTGGTTTTCAATTATAGATGTCTTGGAAGCATTGCTCTGGGGTATACATCTCGAATCACATATTTGATCTTTAATCTTTTTGATTGCATCTAATACGTCAACTACTATGGGATTTGAATTGACAATTGCATCTCTGTGCTAATGTGGTATGGACACTTAAACTGATGTACGTACGTACGAAGTTCTGTGTTGTAACTGACTGACTGAATGAATAAATTTAGAAAAACCTATTGAAACTTGTACTGACTTATGTATTTGATAAAATAGATTAAGCGGATCTTGAAGTTTACTAAAAATGTCAATCGCAAGCATTTTTCGTTATTCTAAGGATTCAACACAAGAAGCATGTTCACAATTTAGGATAATTCGGAATTGATTTATTGACAAGATGTACAAAATCATTGATTCCAATCAATTGGGATTTCTTGCTGGCTGATATTTGACTAAATTTACAGTTTTGATGTGCTTTTTTTATAAAGATAAATTCAAGAAAACATTAAACTGTACTTCCTGAAACTTAGTAGACAATTATGAAATTGTTTACTTCTTTTGGGCATAACTTACATAGCTACTAAATATTATGCTCTAATTATTACCTTAACCAATTTATATTCAAGTAGAAATATGATCTGTAAATTGAATGATAAAGCCTAATACCATATGCTCAGGATTCAAACAAAACTGTATAAACACACTGTATTTTTGTCATAATTAACTACGTATTTACTACCTTTTGAGTTCTATTGATCGATCGAATTTAGTACACTTCTTTCATTTCGCTTAGGCAAACAGTTAGCAGATTTTTATATAAGTTTGTTAGTTTCGTTTCTTTGTGATTTCATCCACCATACTTTCACATTGTAGTAATTCATTTTAAGCTGTGATAAGGCTGGTAATCATTTTAACATTATTAATTTGTCCCTGAAAATTGACCAATGCTGCAATCAAATCAACAGATTTTAACTTTTAGTTCAGTTTTTTTGTGTGTGTTTATTGTATATTTAAAATAGCAATGTAAAGATTAGTAATAAGCATTGAGTGAACTTGTACTATTAAAAATTTCCTAATCACTGCTGATTGGTTAATTTCATTACAGCTTGGAGTTGTAGCCCAATCAAATACTTCCTGTGATTTGAATCAAAGTTTTCCGCCACCACCAACTCCTGATTCGGAAGTAAGCATGTCGTCTAAACACTCACTGTTGAACACACCAATTGGGAGTAATAGTACACTAACTGAAGCGCCTGACTCAATATATTGGTCATCAGGAGATAATAACAGCAACTTATCAACACCTCATGATTCGCTTCATGCGATACATAATTTCGAAATAAATATTGATCTAGATTTAGATGGGAATAATGATCAGGCGAATTCCAGCGGACGAACAGGATCATCTAATCCTGATGTACGACATTCAACTAGTCCCAGATCACGTGGTACCGCAAACTCTACTCATGATTTCATCAATGGCAGTCCACAGACACCAATGAATAGTTTATTCGGCAAATCAAATCGTCGATTGTTAAATTTACAAGAATACAAGAAACGTCATGGATTAATTTAATTGTTAATTGATATGAAATTGTCGACATGTTCCTTGTCTGAACAAATAATTTTTTTTCTTAAAAAAATGCTATTTTTCTTTATGCGTGCGTGATTCGTCTTATACATAATACCGGTTGTTCAGTATGTAATTTTTGCATGTGTTTATGTGTGTTGTAAATAGCCATCCAAAGGCCTTTTTCTTCTTTGCTTTACACTTTCTTTTTTTTTTCTTTGTTAAATGTACATAAGAGTGAAAACTAAACGTAATTACCTGTTGCTTATTAGTTTTCTCTTCTTAAATGGTTGGGTTATTTGTCAGAGGAGTTCATGCTGTCTGTTCATAAGTTTAAAAAAGGAGGACTGTGAAATTGAGTTTATAGGTTGTTATCTTACGTTATTAGTTATAAATTGCATACTTCACCCGATCAGTTGCGTTAGCTTAAACTCCAACAGATTATTCTTTATAGAATCGACTGGGACACACGCTACAATATGTTTCACGTATCCATCAATTCGTGATAAGTGTTTTACTGTAACATTGAAATTAATGTTTACTTTACACAGTACATTTATGATCTTGTCGTTGTCGTCTGTTTGATACCTCTTAATTAGTTTAGTAATCTGGTAAATGTAAAAATGACATTCCTTTCGAATCATATATATTCTCATAGTCTCAGTCTCAAGTTTCAAGCTTATTTCAGCCTTCTCACAAGTTTTTACCATATATCTTCTGACTGATCAAAATGATGCAAGAAAGTTTTCTACTTTAGATTTGTCTCAATTGAATAGCAATAAGTCCTTATTGTGTGTACTTATATGGTATTGTGAAAGGTTTACAACTTATCAGGATAGTAAATAATAGGAATTTGTAGTTGGATCTTTTCAATTCATTCATGTATTCATTTTATTTGATTATTCAACAAAATATAAGTTAACAGTAAACTTTCACCATTGAAGATAAGTGGCAGACTGAGAAAACTTGTACAAAGTATAATTTTTAGATAATTACAATTTATTAAAAGGAGAGTTCGTCGTCATATTGTACAGTTGATGTTGTGAGGTTCTTACTGTAACACAATTTCTAGTAATGAATAAAGCTGATATTCTAATTGTTATCATGTCACTTCGTTAATGACATCAAAGTAAGGATACAAATTAGACATCTTATGATTTAACGACCATATTTGTAAAGCTCTGTGTGATTGTGTAGAATTATTTGTCAATAAAATCGCTTTAAACTTAAGAGATATGATCTGAATCTGTGGTCGAGATGCTAATCATGTTCGCGACAAATATAGATTTAAGAAAAAAACAGTCACTCACAGACCACTTGCAAGTCTGATTACACGATACAAAACTGATGTGAATGATATTATTATTAGTGGAAATGAGAGCTTTTGTTCGTACATTTGAGTATATTTCATATTATAAGAAGAACATATTTCCGGTCTTACAATTGTTTCGCATTCACTTTGTAGTAGACTTGATGTTGATATCTCAAAATCTTCCATGATCGCAAATAAATTTATTACACTTTGCTGCGTTGTTGTGAAAAGATTCCAATCGAATTTATGTATCCAAAACAATGTAGTAATTCATGCTTTACCTTGATGTCTTCAGTTTCAAGACCTGGGTGCTTAGCATTGTTTTCTATGCCGTTCATTGAAGTTTCTTCTTTATTATATGGACTTTACTCGACCAGTCACTTGTACTGAGTATTAAATAAACCAGGACATTTATCTTCCAGTATAAGAATCTTGTCTACATTTCTTTTGCATCACAAAATATTTGAATGGTCAATCTGTAAGTGGAAAACTATGTAGACGAATTTTTAATCCTTTCAAATTTATTGTCTATTTTAACGTCAGTCAAGATATGTATGACAAAGTATGCATACTCATTTTTTAATTGGTCGGAACTAACGGTAGTCTAAGAATTAGAAATGAATTCACACTATTCTTCTATGATTGTTCGTGGTTCACTAAAATTTGTTTGTTAATCTGATTCAATTTACGCTTAGCTGATTGGGCTGGGGTTGTGTGATTTCATTTTGAATTCAAATACTTCACATAGTTTAGGGATTATTTTCTGTTAGTATATAACCAATATAGCGGCTTGGGAAAGAGAAGTGAGTATCCAAAAGTCACAGGTTATCGTATTACTGTTGTCACAATATTAATGGTGATGAGTATTTACCATATTAACATCTAGAAAGGTGTATCTATTGGTATAACCTAATCAATAATATAAGATATATGATAAACATCTACAATGGACCTCAAATAAAAAGAAATCAACTCCTAGTCATAATCCAAATATGTAAAGCAATACTGCCTTGTTTGAGAATCCCATCAGAGATTGAATGAATAAATTTTAACTACTGCTTAGTAGTATCGTTTGATATCTGAAATTTTTATCCACTTGATTAAAATAATTATTATTGAACTCAATAATGCGAAGATAACTGATTTTTTACATCAAGTGAGTTTTTCAATGATCTGAAATTTCATAAGGATCCTCGTCAATCTTAAAGATTTGATATCCAAGACCGAACTTATCAATCTACGTTGGGATTCGTGCTGCTTAAACAGAAAGGTTGTTTAGTACCATTTAAAAGTTGATTGTATTTTTGAAAGTTGCTAGCAGAAGAATCTGATATGCAGATTTCACTCTATCTAAGCTTTGTCAGCTTCGTTTACTTAGGTTCAGAACTATGATATTTACCATTTTAAATCTCTTTTACTTTGGGTTTATCTCACGTTAGTATATTCGTTTTTCGTACAATATTCAGTTAAGGAGAAATTCTTACTTAAAAAATTTATGACAACTACAGTCTTCAAAAAAAACGGCACATTATTCTAAAATAATGCCACCTCTTTTGGGTTTTACATGCAACCACTTGTCTTTCAATTTATTAGCAACTAAATGATAAATGTTCATGGCATTCGACTCTGTTGATCGTGAGGTTCTGTGGCAGTGTCTGTCATAGAAAGGTGTACCAAAGAAGTACATTAACCTTATACAAGCTCTTTACTTGAACACCACTGGTCGAGTGACGGCTTATGGTGAACTGTCGCCGGAATTCTTCACTTCAAGTGGTTTCCACCAGGGATGTCCACTTTCCCCATTTTTTTTAAATTTTGTCATAGACATGCTGCTAGATAAAACGTTATCCCCGTCTGACTATTCAGGAGTCGACTTTCTACTAGGAGGCTCGCTTATCGATTTAGAATATGCCGATGACATTGTCCTATTTGGTGAAGACGCTAACAAAATGCAGTCTTCTGACTACCCTAAGCAACAATGCGAGCATGTTCGGGATGCGGTTCTCACCCGTCGAAATGCAAAATGTTGCTTCAGGAGTGGCTTGCATCGGCACCTGAACCAGTGATAGGGATACCCGCTTGCTAACCAAAGGACGAGTGTACCGTGCAGCAGTTCGCTCCGTCCTACTTTATGGCTGTGAAGAATGGCTGTTAAGGGTAGAGAACTTTCGTAGGTTACTAGTCTTCGATCATTGGTGTCTCTGAAGCATTTCTCGTGTATCCTGAGATAACTGTATAAGCAATGCTGTCGTTAGGAAACGAGTTCTAGGTAGGGATGGCAGATCAATCGATGAAGTATTGAAACTTCATCAGTTGAGGTGGTTGGGACATGTGTTACGTATGCCTAACCACCGACTGCCTCGACGAGCTTTGTTTTTTAGTGTAGGAATAGGTTGGAAGAAAGCTAGGGGTGGCCGAACCAAAACATGGCAGAAATCCATGAAGTCACTGACAGGTGGACTGAGTCATGTCGACAGGTGTCGACTACCTGGTTGGGTTCCGTGAGATGAAAGTCACCAATGGTTAGATTACCTTGAATGACATGGCTGAGAATCGCTTGCAATGGCGCAGATGCATCCACTCTTTTTGTTCTATGAAATTCTAACCTTCTAAATTCCTCATAATCTCTACCTTTCTCCTTCTAAATTGATCTTACTGATTTATACTTTACGAATCATATCTTCACTCCTTACTGCTATTAATTCTACTATCGCTATCACTCTTGGATTTGAACTGACATTTGTGTCTCTGTGTTGATGTGGTATAGCAACTTGAACTGATGCACTTTTGTACGAAGTTCTGCGTCGATAAATGTTCATGCATAATAACATATAAATCACAAGGTTATATTTTGTCTAAGCCTCATTTTTATCAATCTGGTCGTGATTTTAACCTTTACGATTCAAATATTCTGTTGAGAAAAAAAGCATTTTAAAAATGTTACTTATTATAAATATAATTTATATTTACATGTATTTTTTTTCAATTGTATAGTTATTTAAAATACCTAACAAATTTTCATTGACTATATAAGCTTTTTAAATTATCTATTCTTCTGTTAGAAGGATTTCTTATGAATACTAATTTCATAGACAATCATGTTATTTCGTAGTTGAACTGTTACATATATGATGATGTAGAGAGTTTTCTAAAAATCTATTGGATTATATAGTATAAGATATACTATAGTATTTATAAACTGTCAAGAATATAAGTAGTGTATTAAGTAGGGTAACATCAATGCATACTCTATCATAATATTTAAACTCTCTCTCTGTTCTATCAACAAATTTCAAAATATTCTTACAAATGAAAATAAATTAATCCATACAACTTTAATGATTGAAGTATGAATGATTGGTTTTTTCCCAATCTCATGCTATATATAATCACATCTTGAGAAGGAGTAATTACATAACTTAGCAAATTAGTTATACTGATTAGATATAGATGTTTAGTTGTATGTATGGTCAATAAGTGTTCACATAGTAACTTATTGATTAAATGATGTTATATACTACTCAGAACGCCGCACAGAGACGCTCTAGGGCTACTGCAGGTCCCAAGCCCGGATAAAGGAGGAGGATTGGGCTTGGGTTTGGCGACCCCATCCGTAGAAAACTAATTCTCTAAAAAAACGATAGCCAGTAAAATTGATTCAAACTATATTAACTCTGCCCTGAGAGTTAGAAGGTATTCTTTTAGATGAGTTATGATGTCTCATGATGAAAGCCGAGTTCCTTCGGAAGTCACGAGTCGCATGCCCCGTCTGATAACCAGAGCAACCATTCTTTTAAGTACATGCAATGTTCGAACGATGTAAGAGACTGAAAGACTGTTCCGAATTGCTGCACAGTTGAATAGATATAAATTGTGGGTGCTTAGAATCAGTGAAACACATTAGACGCATGTTGTACGTCTAAGACTAGCTTCAGGAGAGTTGCTGTTAT